GGAGAGGAGGCAATTATACAGCGTGTAACAAAAATAATTTCATTTCTAATGCCTTTCCCCTGCTGGGCCACTTAGAATCCAAACAATAACAACAAGGCAGGGGTGGAAACAAGAAGGGCAGGCACATTCTGAAGGAGGACAGTGAGGAAGAGATGGGCCCCAGGACTCACTTTGGCTCCCAGACATCTGCAGGGGAGTATCCTTGGGGCTGCGGCTGCCATTCTGTGATGAGCTCCAGCGCTCTGGAAGGCAGGTCTGCCCAGGCTGACTGCGGGACTATGGAGGGGGCCCCTGGAGGCTGAGTCTGCCTGACTTCACTTACCAGCCTCTGTCTGGGAGCAGGCTGACATCACTCAGAGGGCTCCAGGGAAAGCCAAGGGTCCTCCTTCCTTCCTCTCCCCATCACTGCAGACAGCAAAGAACTCCCCTGTCTCCTCCTGGAAAACGTGAAGATCCCTGCAAGTGCCATCAGATTACGACAAATTGCCCAAACTGCACTAAGCTGATGCCTTATACGTGCATAGTTAATATCAGTCTCCTCCAAGTGCCCCCAAGAGTTTACTTCTCCTTGGCTCCCACCCCCATACACTGCCCCACACTTTCTCAGATGCCCTTGCAGCCTCCAGGTCTCTCAGTTTGGGATACTGCAGCAGGACAGCCTCTTGCATCCATGGGAGGGGGGAGTCCCCAGGCCCCAGTGCGTCATCTCTGACTCCTCCTTGTACACTGGAGGCAGCAAGGGCCTCTGCTCCTCTGCAGAGAAACATTCCCATGGCTCCCTCCCAGGAGGGAGGCTGCACCCTCCCAGGGGACATCCCAGCTGCCAAGGGTGTTGATTTAACCCATTTATCAGATTGAGGTGAAAAGGACAAGAAGAGGGAAACTGTGCAGTCCAAAAGGGCAAGTTTCTCTCCTTTCTCTGGACCCAAACAGGAGCAAACCAAGTGGCTGAATCTTGTAGTTTTACTCCTCCACCCACATGTACTGACACTATAATCAAGCTATTTTCCAAGCCTATGCATTTAGATAATATGATTCTGTTGTTACAAAAAGAAAAGGAAGAAAATTTCAATTACATTGGTGATGGGGACAGGTGAGAGGCAGGGGTGTATTAACATTGAATTCCACACTATTAGCGTAATTTAATAGACTGGAGATAATATCAACCAGTCTACCAACCAGAATTGGTAAATAAGCAACTTGCACATATCCTTAGTATTCTGGAGTATCCTGTATTTAGTATCCTGGAGAGCTGGAGGACCTGCATATAATCCCAAAGCCAAATCTTGGAGTCTTCCCAGGGCCATAAGATGCCCTATGGGGGGTGGGAGGATATGATGCTGGGGTTAACTAAGTGAGATGCTACATACAGGGGAGGGTGCCTGCTAAGAAGCTGGACCCAGCTGTGCCCTTCTTGCTGCCTGCAGTTTCCAAGCATTTCCTAGATGCAGCATGCCCTCCTGCTAAGCAGAGCTCCTGGACGGATGGAGAAGCAGTTACCAAGCCCAATCTTGGTGCCCCGGAACTGGAAAGCTTATGTGGCTCCTTTTTGGAAGGACTTTAATAACAGGAGAGAGATTACCATGTTTCTGGACTAGAAGAAAAGCCACCCTGTTTAGGGTCAGAGGCATTCAAGATGACCTCTGAGGAGCCCAAATAGTGGAAGGATCTAAAGTCCTGGTAACTATGTCCCAGGGGAACTGCAACTGATTGGGCAACAATTCTAAGATATTTTCAGGACCTCATATCTTAGGTTATTGTGACCTGTGACGTACAACCTGATGCTGGGAGATACTGGAGTCGTGGCTTGGGGTCTTGGTGTTATAAAACCTCAACTGTGGGGGCCGGCCCGGTTGCGCAGCAGTTAAGTTCACACGTTCCACTTCTTGGTGGCCCGGGGTTCACCGGTTCGGATCCTGGGTGTAGACATAGTACCGCTCGGCAAAAAGCCATGCTGTGGTAGGCGTCCCATGTATAAAGTAGAGGAAGATGGGCACGGATGTTAGCTCAGGGCCAGTCTCCCTCAGTAAAAAGAGGAGGATTGGCAGTAGTTAGCTCAGGGCTAATCTTCCTCAAAAAAAAAAAAAAAAAAACCTCAACTGTGATTGTCCTCTCCCTTCCTGGGTGCTAAAACACCTTCGCTGCTGGAGTCTCATAGGTATTAAGCCACAAGGGAAGAAGAAACGGGAGGGGCGGGCGGCAGGTCAGAAAATATGAGTCACTGGAAGGGGCAGGGTTGCCCCAAGGAAGTCCCATCATCCTCTATCTCCCCCACCCCCATGCTATCTTCACAGCCATGCTTCTTCTTCAACACCAAAATGTAACTTCCACCTACAGGGAAGATGGAGACACCTCTTTCCAGGCCCAGTCGACGTGCCTTTCCCCTTACACATGTTTACCCAGAGAACAGTGACCTCAGACAAGTCGAGCTTCAGCAGGTCAATCTCAGTTGTATACGAGGCCATATTTTTTATGAGACTCTGTGCTCCCTTCATTTCCCCTGGTATAGGAAGAGGAACAGAAGGTTTTTTCTCAAGTTCAGATACTCCTACATCATTGCATGTTCTAGACAGAAATAATCCAACCTTGCAGGTGGAAGCAGGAGATGGACCAGCCCACAAACATCATGCCTGGCCTCATTCACCCCTACCAGCTTCCTAGCTTAGAGAGCACAAGAACCAAATCAATACAGTCAATATGTCACCACCAGCGGGGCACAAGTGTCTACCAGCCTTGGGGAACATGACGTGCTACTAAGCTGAACTAATCACTCCTTGGCATTTCAGGAGCAGTTGGGTTAGCAGATCACAGCACATTCATAATAAAAGATAATAATTCCCCCCAGAAAGGGAGGGTAAGGGGAACACTGGGTTGGCCCCCAGAAGGGAGCAGTTAGTATTTACACAAGTCAAACTGGAGCCACATTGGTGATTATTAGGGAAGCCAAAAATCTGTTTTAGCAAGAAGCAAAGACTAGGAGGATCATGGGGGAGAGGAGATTGGGCTGCATCTTTTATTTCAGCAAAGGAATTGAATCAAGGGCATAGTCCCTCCCTCCATCAATAGTACCAACCTGAAGAATTTAGCACGTAGAACTGCAGGAGGCAAGTGGGGCCAATTAAAGACGTTAACCATGCCCCCTCTAGTCAAAGAAGAAAGAACTTTTATGAGAGGTGATTTTTTCACCCAGTGTACATATGATTCACCCAGAAATATTGTTAGAATATACATTCCTGAGCCTCAGCTTGAGATTCATTCAGCAGTTCTTCAGGGAAAAACCAAAAGGATGCATTTCTATCTAGCTTCCCAGATGATTCAGATGCAGGGAGTACATTAAAACAAAAAACAACCTTAGAGAAATGCTGCCCCAGACCTCTACAACGAGTCAGAACCCTCCATTTTCCAGGCGCATTTCATTCCCAGGCTGTGCAGGGGTTGAACTCAGAAGGAACTCAGAATATTCCTCAAGAGACCAAGGCTGGGGCTACCACGGCCCTCACTTGACCCTAGCTCTAACCCTCTCAAGAGTCTTCTCTGTCAGATGTCTGATTTCAGAGACAGCATCAAATGCACACACACCCACCATCACATATACCAGGAATTTTGAACACTAAACAGAAAAGTCAAAGGCAGGGATTGGGAGCCAGCAAACCAGCTCACTGATTCTCTTTCAATTGGTCACATTCACCATGGCCTCTCTCTGTGTACACTCTCATCAAACAGAAGCCGGGGGGTGGGGGTGGGGGCGGTGAGGAGGGACGAGAAGAATGATTCTTTTTCAAGTGGTCCTAATGCTGCAGAGTGAATCGAGGATAAGCAGAGTATTTATATCTGAACGGGGGAGAGAATCCCTGAACATCTAATTCCCAGGGAGGAGCAAAGATTAGCCTGAAAGGTTTGTAGCTGGTCAAAATGTGGAAATTGTTAGATCTGCAGAAGGAACTGGAGAGGGATCCACAAAGTGCTTCGCACTTCACCAATCTTAGGAGCCCCTGGCACAAAAAGTAGTGGGGTGCCTGTTGGGACAACAGTGACTCGCTCAGACAGCTTCCCTGTGGCTGACAGCAAGCTCCCTACGGAGCTTCAGTGCTGTGACTTGTGTCCATGGCGAAGCCTGTTTTGTAGACGCACACGCACCCTCTTACCTCTGCTCTTCAAGAGGAACCGTTCACAGGCTGTGTGCAGCAGACTGGGATGTGGGGACACGCTCTGCCTGGCGCTTAGAGCTGCCTCTTGTCTCCGCACACGGCCATAACGGGGCTCTTGATCCATTTTAGAGTCGGACAGCCACCCTCCGCTACTGCCCCCACCATCACTCCCATTCCCAGGTCGAGACGGGTCTGAAAACCCAGCCTCGCTCCTCAACTGGATCTCGAACGGAGAGAAGGCGAAGGAGAAGGTAAACTCAGGACCAAGGACAGCTGCTAATACATTAGGGAGTGAGAGAGTAGAGCCAGAGCCAGCCTCTCCCCCATCCTTGGCTTCTGTCCTTAGGAACTGAGAAGTCTCAGGTCGCACAAATGCATAGTTGCCAAGTGCAACCCTTCTCTCTCTGGGGCGGTCGGAAACTCTGGCCGCGTGTCCTGGGGTCCCAGTCTCGAGTGCCGGGCGAAAAGTGCCCTTCCGAGACCGTCGGGAGTCGGCCGCGCTGCGAAGCCGCGGCTCGGCGAGGTTCGCTCTCAGAGCTCGGCGGGGAGGCTGCCCCAGCCCCGCCCGCTCGTTCCTGGAGCGAGAATTCCCGACCCGGCTGTGCGAAGGATGCTGAGACTGAGGGAGAGGGGATGGTAGCCGCTGGGTTCCTGTCGCCCTCCAGGCAAACGGCCCGACGGAGGGTCCGTGGAGAGCCCCACACTGCAGGCGAGGCGGTCCCGGGCAGACGGCGCCGGAGTAGCCGGACAAACTTCTGGTCCCGGCCGTGCCACCCTTTGAGCTCCCTTCTCCTCTCCCTGCGACCTGCCTCGGCCCTGGGCCGCCTGTCGCTCCATCCTGCTGGCGCTTACCTTCAAGCCATAGGGCGCCCGGGGGCAGAGAGGGCGCCGGCTGCTCGAGGCTTCCGGCTCCCGCCGCATCCACGCGCGGCCGCCCCTCCGGCAGCCGTCCGGGGCCGCCGCTCTCCTCGGCGGGTCCTTGGCTCCCGGCCCCGCCGCGCCGTTCAGAGCCCCGGCGGGCAGCCGCTTGGCCGGCTCCCGCCCGCCGGGAGCAGTGGACCGGCCGCGGCGGGGCGGGGCGGGGCGGGGCCCGGCGCGGGGCGGGCGAGAGGCGCAGGGACCAGGCGCGGAGGCGGCGCGGTGCGCGCGGGAGGCGGCTGGCTCCGGCACTGAGGCTGGACAGCTCCGCGGCGCCAGAGTGCGGGGAGCGCAGAGGGAGGGGGCGGGGCCGCCCTGGCTACGGGGGCCCCGGGGCCCCGCCCCTGGGAGAGGCCCCGCCCCACCCACTGCTCGTGTGTGTGCGGGCTCCGTGTGCCAGGGCCTGAGGGGAGAGGCGAGCTGGTGGGCGAGGCCGCTGTCCCTGGCTTCGAGATCGATCGGAGCGAAAACAGGAACGGACTGTCAACTGCCTGCTGTGCTCCCCCATCCCACAAAGTAACACCCTGTATATACGCAGGGCTGCTGGTAGTCAAGCATCCTCATCACCTGCTTGTCTGTTCCTTCTTTTGAGGGGTCAGCGGACAAGGGTTGGGGGAGGCACCACCCATCCAGGGAGTCGAGTGAGGAGGAGAGGTTCAGGGTCCGTTTTCTGACGCCCGGTCTTGGAACCCCGGTGGTCAGTTCTGTTGCTTGGCTCTTCCAGGAGGAAAGCCTGCTCAGAGTTGACCTGAGATGGAAATTCAAAAGGGGGCCTCGGGAATTCCAGCTCACCTTTGACTCCAGTTGGAGGCAGAGGAGAGGGGAGGAGGGGAAGGGAGGTGGTGGTGAGGACTGTCTTGCTACCATCCTCTGCCCAGCGTCTCCTCTGTCCAGGGTCGTTTGGGTTGCAGAGAAAACTCCTCCCTCTCCCCTTTCTCCCCTCTCTCCTTCCTTTCTTCTCTTCTTCAGCTATTAGTTGTGGACTATCCTCCCTTTGCTGGGTTCTATGTCAGGTTTCTGGGTCACAGAGAGGAATAAAACCAGGCCCCTGCTCTCACGTCCTGGCAATGCTGAGTGGAGACCTTCAGATAATACCTGTAACATACCACAGCACCTGTGGTTTAAACAACACCTGTTCCCAAGGGGGAGAAGGCAAGGTGGCACAGCATGCCAGGCAGAGGGAACAGCACAGACAGGACAAAGGACTGACCGTGCCTAGCAGGTCTGTCCACCGTGCCTGGAATCAAGCTGCTCTGGGCCACAAAGATTAAGTTTGTATTTCCTCCAACAACCCACACAATTATAGAAAATTGGAGTTGGCAAGGACCTTAGCATAAATCTAACGCCCCATCCTCATCGCTCCAGAAGGGGAAACTGAGGCCCAGAGAAATGGAGTGCCCTTCTAGATTCCACAGAGATTCAGCTCTGGACCAGTCCACCATCCCCTGAGGCTTGGGCCGGCACTTATCTCGAATGCAGCCATCTCTGGAGGAACTGGGCAAGAGGGAGAAGCTGTAAGTGGGCCCAGCAGGGCCCTTCTCCTGGTCCTTACCTTTGGCACTATCATGTGGATCTGGACCATCCCGCCAGCGGCCTTGAAAGGGAGATAGCATAGCAATCAGGAATCCTAATGTTTTGCCATATTTGCTTTTAAAGCAATAAAATCTAGCAGCCATAGTTGAAATTTCAATGTTCCCTCTTGTCTACCCGTAGGCCATTCTTTCCAAGGTTTAACCCACTTAAGGAAGGACTTGATGCCTCTAAGCTCAGCACCTCTACATTGGTCCAAGACGGAGCCACCCAGTGGACAGGCCACCCCTCTCCTGACAGTCAAAGGACCTAGATTGGTGTCCTGCCTCTGTCACCTATCAGCTTTGTGACCTTGGCTAAATTGTTTAATCTCTCTGAGCTTCAGTTTCCCCATCTTTAAGTTGGGGCTAAAAATACCTGTCACTCTAGGCTGCATTGAGGATTGTAGATGAGGCATGTTAGACCAACTGTAATATGGGTGACCCCTGGCTGCTCTGAGGGGGGCAGCCTTGCTCACTCAGGAGGCAGAAGAGAGAGCACGATGACCTCCATGGGGTGTACCAACCCAAGGACGCTGTAGCTCCACGCTGCCTTTTTCACCCTAGTCTTGCATGGCTGAGTGGATTTCATGCTGGCTGCGAGTGAGACGGATGGATCTTTTAGTTTTCAATTAGCAAACGCCTCGCTCTTTAAACAAGTGGCATAGCAAACAGATGCACTGAGTGATTGATGGCAGGGAACATCTGCGGCCAAGCAGGCGGCCGCACGAGAGGCTGTCTGCCTCCCAGGCTGTCAGGGCTCTCTGGAGGTCGTTCACTGCCTCCCCCTGCCTCCAGGCAGCACTGTAGCCAGTCCAGGGAGGCAGGCAGGGGCAGGGCGGCCCTCCTCCTTATAGCTTTCCTGGAAAAAGGGGCACAACCACCTTCATAAGTTTCACATTTGTATGTTCCAGAGCCTCAGAGTCGGGAAGTTTTTCCTGATGTATGACTTAAATCTTTATTTCTACCACTTTTAGTGTTAAAAGTGGTAAGTAAAAGGTTAGTAATGGGTATGGGGGTAGAAGATGGGTGGAGGCATGTGGGGGTTTTGTTGGCCCACAGTAATGAGGGAGCAAAGGACTGAGCCAGCAGAGAATAAGGAAGATCTAGAACTTCTTCCTGTGCCAAAAGAACGGCCTCCGAGATGAAGAATGAGGCATGGCTGGGGCTTGGATAGCAGCGTCCCTTGCTGGTCTCTATCAAATTCTGGTGCACCTCAGGAAGAAAGACACAGACCGTCACAGCTGCCCTTCTGAAAATGATCCCACAGAAGATAAAGGAAATGCCTTCCTGGGAGGAGTCAGAAAATGAGCAGAACTGGAGTCACACAGGACTTTGTTCACGTCCGAACTCCACAACCTTCCAAACGTTCTGAATGTCTCTGAGCCTCAGTTTCCTCAGTTGTAAAATGGGGACAGAAATCCATATGGCAGTGTTATCATGAAGGTTAAGCGGGAATGACAGCTGACACATATTGGTGCTCCATACATTTTGCCCCTTTTCGGCTCTTCCAGAAAACTTCCCCTGGAGAAAGTGCTGAAGGAAATGCAGACCGTCTCTATGTAATATTCCAGCTCTGGATTCTTAACCTACTTTGCAGGTGAAATCCGAGCCCTATTTTCAAGCTCCGGGAATTTTTCTTTTCTTGTCTTCTTCTCTTTTGTCATTTTGTTCTTGCCCCATTTGCAAATGACTCTGAGAACACTAAGGTGGCAGTCCTTCTGGGTCAGAAGAGGTGTGGAGTGAAAAGAAAATGAGCACATCCTTTTATACTGTGTTGTTTCTCTCAAAGTGCTGAAAACCTTAGAGAGGTGCAGCATTCTTGGTTACTGATGTTGCTCTGAGATCCACAGTCTCACGTCAGAATAAGCTAGTGAAGGGACTAGAATAGTCTAGGGAAAGTCGATTGGGCTGGTCATCCTGAAGGAGGGGTGGGGAAGGGGAGCAGCCTTCTAAGAGGACAGAGGTTCAGGGTACACTCTCTGACCAAGGCAGGAGAGCAGAGTTACCTGGGGGTTTTGACATCTGCACGTGTAAGTCACTGTGAGGGGGTGACTTCCTCACTGTAGACTGTAATGGGCTTTTCCACATCAGTGTGAAACGGACATTTGTAGATGTTCTTTGTGTTTTCCTGTTTTGGAACAATAAAGGATACAGGTGTGACCCACTTTAAGCAAGTCTATTATACAATTCTTCAGAGTTACAAAACAGATAAATTAAAGTTCAATTATCCATATTACAATTTTGTTTAATTACTTGATGGGAAGATGTCGTAAAAATATACACTGTATTTGTACACCCATGTTCATAGCAGCATTATCCACAGTAGCAAAAAGGCAGACGCAACCCAAGTGTCCACTGATCGATGAATAGATAAACCAAGTGTGGTCTGTACAAACAATGGACTATGAATCAGCCTTGAAAAGGCAGGAAATCTTGTCACATGCTATGAGGTGGGTGAAACTTCAGAGTGAAATAATCTAGTCACAAGAGGACAAATACTGTATGATTCTACTTTTATGAGGTACCTAGAAAAGTCAGAGAGTGGAGTGGTGGTTGCCTGGGGCCGGAGGGAGGGGTGAATAGGGAGTCAGTGTTTAAAAGGCACAGAGTTTTGGTTTGGAAAGATGAAAAAGTTCTGGAGATGGATGATGGTGATGGTCGCGCAGCGATGTGAATGTAGTTAATGCCGTTGAACTGTAAACCTAAAAATGGTTCAGATGATAAATTATATTTTACTACAATAAAAAATATATAAACGTTGTATTTCAGTGGCCACTGCACACGCCATATACATAAAAGCAAAATAAAACATCTTGGGAATTACCAGGTAAATAGGTGTAAAGTGATTGAGTTTAGAAAACAATCAACATATATAACTTCCAAAGTTGCGTTTAGGGATGTACCATCTGCACTGCCTTGGAGTTCTTCAGCCCTTTCTGTAGATAATAAAGCACTTTCTCATTTATGGTGTCATTTACCTTTCAACCGTCTCGGGAGGTCAAGAATATCATTAATTTGGGGGAGCACTGCAAGGTTATTAAAGGTTTCCTCTTCCAGAAGCTGGGAACGTGCAGTGAAACTAGGATGGTAGTTTCCAGACAGTCCGCAGTGCAAGCACCGTTCAACCACTCAGGTTTTGAATGGAGTTGTGCCGTTCAGAGAAAGCTCTCAATAGTGAAGAAGAGCTCAGTCCAAGCTTTCTTTGTTGAGTGTGAGCAAATCAGGAGTAGAGGGATAGCTAGTCTGTAAGCCAACCAGCAGCATTTAGGATTCTATTCCTCACAACCTGCTCCTCTGCCTGCATGTGGTCGTTGAGGCTGAGGACTAACCCTGGCTGCTCAGGCCCTCCCCGCCTCTGATGCAGACAGGGTAGCGGTCAGGGAAGGTGGATGTGAGAAACAAACAATTCAGGCAGGTCGAGCAGAAAGGGAATTCATTGACAATATTGTAGTAGCTCACAGAATCATAGGGGAGGTTAGAGAACCAGGCTTGTAAAACAGTCTGGAACCAAAGAGCTAGATGCTGTTAGGTCTTCAACGAATATCAAGCCCATACAGCAGTCCAGTGAGAACTAAGTTATTGCTGGTAAACACAGGGCACCAGATGGCATGGCCACCACTGCTGGCATCAGACACTGGCGTCCCCCTGGCACTCTGTCATGCTGTTTC